CATGAGACACAAATACCTTTACTCCTTTGACCCATTCAGAGAGATCTGTCCACATACCTCTTCCCCATACATCCTTATCACCAATCTTCCAATCATGCTCCTTCCAAGACCCAGACCATCCAGCTAAGCCATTAGCCACAGCCCATGAAAGCACATACAATCACACATCTGGCCATTTCTTATTCCATGCAAAGTGAACAGCCATATGCACAGCTCGAAGTTCTGCCCACTGGGAGGATTTCTCTTCACCACTGTCCTTTAAGGAAGTCCCAGAAAGGGGCTGCAGTGCTATTGCTGTCCACTTTCGAGTGGTGCCTGCATATCGCGTAGAACCATCTGTAAACCAGGCACGAGTTTTCTCTTCCTCAGTCAACTGATCATAAGGAACTCCCCATGAGGCCAAAGATGCAGGGTGGGACAGGGAAGGTAATGTGACTGGAGTGGAGACCACAGGCATTTGGGCCACTTCCTCATGCAACTTACTTGTGCCTTCAGGTCCTGCTCAAGCCTGATCTATGATATACCACTTCCATTTAATGATGGAGTGCTGCTGTGCACGTCCAACTTTATGACTCTGTGGGTCAGACAACACCCAGTTCACGATGGGTAGCTCAGGCCTCATGGTGACCTGGTGGCCCATGGTTAGGCGTTCAGTCTCTACTAAAGCCCAGTAACAAGCCAAAAGCTGTTTCTCAAAAGCAGAGTAGTTTTCTGCAGAGGATGGCAGGGCTTTGCTCCAAAACCCCAAGGGTCTGCGTTGCGATTCACCAATAGGGACCTGCCAAAGGTGTCAAACAGCATCTCTATCTACTACAGACACTTCAGGCACCATTGTATCAGCCAGATCATATGGCCCAAATGGCAGAGCAGCCTGCACAGCAGCCTGAACCTGTTGCAGAGCCTTCTGTCGTTCTGGGCCCCACTCAAAACTAGCAGCTTTCCAAGTCACTTAATAAATAGGCTGCAGCACACCCAAATGAGGGATATGTTGCCTCCAAAATCCAAAAAGGCCCACCAGACGTTGTGCCTCCTTTTCAGTTGTGGGAGAAGCCAGATACAATAATTTGTCCTTCACTTTAGTAGGAATATCTCAACATGCCCCACACCATTGAACCCCTAGAAATTTCACTGAGGTGGAAGGTGCCTGAATGTTTGTTGGGTTAATTTCCCAACCTCTAGTATGCATATTGGGAGCTCTGGTAGCATAGTGGCTAAGGCACTTGGCTGCTTACCAGAAGGCTGGTGGTTCAAACCC